AGCTTCGTGGTTTCTTGGTGCAGAAAACCTCAAAAGGTTTCACAAGATAAGATGACTCTTGCACAGAGTTTTGGAAGCTGTTTGTTTAGTTAACCGCTTATCTTACCTAAACAAACTGTTTGTTTTTTATCTGATTTCTATATGGTAACTTTGCTAATTGTTGCTTATGTTCTTATTTGTTGCAGGTCACAAAGCTAACCAAGTACCTGATTGAGCATTGTGAGATCGTTGGGGAGAATATCCCAAATCTGCTGGACACTGATGAAGGTACATTACACCTCAATCAATGCTTTGTTTATTACTCTTAGGGACTGTACCTTTTTGTTATTTTGAAAAAAATTCTCAATTTAACTCAGATTTGAACATTAATATATTTAGGAAATAATCATTTGTACATGCTGCACTTGGAGGGAAATTACAAAAACTCGGCCATAACAAATGGTGCATTGCACTTTGATTTAAATGCAATAAAGTAGCTGTGGCTATTGACAGAAAATGTGCACTCTTTAAACATTCAAGGTTCATCAAAGCTTAGACATTGCTCCACTACAGTAGCAACACAAACACAATTTACTGAGGTAAGATTGTTGCCCTCTATGATGCAGGACACACACAAAAGGCTGACCTATTCACCATTCAATATATTCAATGAATCATGCAAGAAATTGATTAAGAAAATATATAAATGTTTGAATTTAGAACATTTTATAATTTTTCTGGCTTTCTGACATTCTCTCAAAAATGTCAGACCAGCCTCGCTTTTTAAATAGCTACAAAAAAGAACCCTCCATATCTTTACTGACCCCACCTTCACCCTAAACATTTTCGTACAGTCCATAACTCAAGTGAAATTGAATTGCATACACACTTAGGAACACATTTTGAGATCCTAACCATGTCCTCCTGCTCTTGCTCTGCAGACTCGCTGTGCTCCCAGCACCATGACTCAGCGTACGACAGCACTGACCTGGATGGAGATGCAGAGAGCGGGTCGTCCTCCTCCAGGGAGGGTCGTCCCATCTCCACCACCTCCTCCTGGCCCGCTGAGGCCGAGTTCAACTCAAAACCACCATTCAGCCGCCGCTGCTCCGAGCCCATCATCCTGCTCTCAGCTGACCTGCAGAGCTACTGCAGCCACTCCAGGAGCCACGACGACTGCTCGCTGGAGAGGACGCACTTTGAGGAGCAGCCACTCAGAAAGCAGATCTCAGACGACTCCTTCCTGCTCAGAGAACGAGGTGGAGCAAAACAGGTGTTGTCCTTTCCAAAACTGAGCAGCAGCTCCAACATGGATCACCTGCCCTACATGGCAGCGAACTGCTCCTGCTCCTCTCTGGAGAGCGCCGCCTCTAATCAGTCAGAAGGCTCTGTTTTCACCAGCTCTCCCGTGGGGTCGCCAGCCTGCACCCGGAGAGAAAACAAAACCATTGAGCAGGACATTCCAAGGCCGATTCCAGATGAGAAAAAACGTTCACAGTCCATGAGAGTTGTTAAAGTCCTCATGAGGACCAGGAGCTTAGGAGCCTTCAGCAGGAGCAGCTTGAAGAAGGACTCTCAGAAGGAAAACTCCTTCCCCTGTGAAACTCTGCAGGAGGACTCTCAGAGTGAAGCAGATCAACCGGCTAAGCCCAAACCTCGCCCTTTGTCCGCCTTTGAAGTGTTCAAGCAGGTGGACAGCAAGATCCCCTGCAGACCCCCGTCGTACGTGCAGGCGGTGCAGAACGCCGGTCCTCCTCCACGGTACGGATCGATGACTGTACACGACGCCATCGAGCAGGGGAGAAGGTCCCGGCCTTCCTCTGTAAATTATGACTTCCCAGGCACCAGCTCAGTCTGTCAGTACAGAGACTCTTTCCCTCAGGAGGCGCAGGACAAGGCTAACGTCCAGCAGCGGCAGCCTTTCCGTCAGAGAGCGATGTCGGAGTCCGTGTCCGCAGGTCGCCGAGAGGCCGTGTCCCGGAGATGCAGCCAGCCTGTGTTTGAGGAATTTTGTTACGCCAAGGAGTCTTATGTTTGAATGACTTTACACAGATTGGAATTTTAGATATATACAAACATTTATCAGTGGGCATAGCCGAAGATCTGGTTTTCAAACTTCACTACAGCAACCCTGCAAACTTATTTTATTTTTAACTCATTCAGAGAAAAGCATTTGTGATCTTTGCTGATTTAGAGAACATAATATTGTGAGTACTTTGCTTCATAATAGCAGCTACTCCCCTTTTCACTGTTCTTGGGTTGTTGAGACAGAGGAAATGTGATTTAAGGCTCTGCCCACTGAGCAGAATTGCTTGTATATGTCCAGATATTCCAATCTTTATTTTATCACTGTTTCACTTTAAATGAATGTCATATGTGCCGCCTCTGTGGTTGCACTTTCTCAGTAGTACCATTAAGAGTACACCACTTAAAAGAGATGTATTATACGTATGACAGGTAGTCTATCACGATGAAGCTATGAAAACACAGTTGACCGTGGATCAAATATGCTATGAGTTTTCATTTTCTATGTTGTAGTTGTGATGTCTACAGTATTGCTAATGATATTTTTGCTTTTTGTAAATCCTCTTCTAATGCATTGTATTTTTCTTCCACTACACTAAAGCACTTTTTCTTGTGATAGACTATGCTTTGTATGCTAAATTGTAAATAAAATAAGATAGATGTAATCTTTGTCAAGCGGTTTTCCAGATGGTTTGAGTTCTAATGGAAGAAAATAACGCAATAAAAGAAAATAACAAAAGAAAAAATGTCCTTTTCTGTTTCTGTGAGACTTTATAAAAGGTTCATGCTAGAAATCGAGGCCCACCTGAATCGCAGCAGCATTTTATGATACAATGGACCACAGAGACTCTGTGAGAGTTTGTTTGCCTGATGTGTTTCATAAAAGAAGCAAACATGCCTCATTGAGAGAACAGCATGTTCAGGCACATGCGCTAACACAGAAGGAAACCAGACGAGGTCACATGGGCGGATTTGGTTTTTCTCTGAATTGCAGTTCTTGTCTCTTGACTGATCTGATGCCACCTCTCTTCCTTCCTTTCTTAGGTTGTCTAACACTCTGTTTCCTTCCTCGACTAGCTGATACAATTCATACCTAAGTTTAAACAGTGAGTTACACAAGTCAGAGAAACTTCCCGAAATCCACGTTAATATGTTAACAAGTTATTACACCTGAATACTCAAATGGGAATTTCTGTTATTCTACATTAGGTTTTTTGATTTGTGTGGGGATTAAAAAACAGGAAGATCTTGTAACATAATGCAGCCCAACAACATTACAAGCCTACACAATCAGCCAAAGATCTTTAAAAGTACTTTTACTGCTTGTTCAATTTTGTTTTCTTTGACATATTTATTTGATCATGTCTCATTGATGTTGTCACATAAAAAATGTAATAAGTGATATTGTGAATCACTTCAGCGCTTGAATTAACAGCAAGGCAGCAGAATTTGTCTGCTCTGATTCCACTTCTGGTTGAAGACGGCTCATCTTAAGCTGCAAGTTGATCTTATTTAATGCAAAAAAAAACTAAAAGCCAGTGAGGGAACTTGAGTCTTCAGGTATCTGTTGAAATACCTTTGCCGAAATACAGTGGTTGTGTTGCAGGTAACTTCATAGCTGACGCAACACAAGTTTAATTAGCGGCTTTATGAATGATGAGGCTACTAACTGACTTGTAATAGCTCCCCATTGACATCAGGACAGCAGATAGCTTGCACATCTTCCGGCGCAGACTGAAAACTCATCTCTTTCGACTCCACTTCGAGCGATAGAACTATTAACAAAGCACTTATATACTAATAAAGGACGGGCTTATCTAAAGCCAGTTGAGTAGCACTTGAAATGTTTTGGCTCTATGAAACCTGATGTACTTATATGATTCTGTTTTCTTCAAGGTTGTGTCTTCCTGGTCGAATGTACTTATTGTAAGTCGCTTTGGATAAAAGCGTCAGCTAAATGTAATGTAATGTAATGTAATAAACACTTCAGAGCTTATGATAAACAATCAATCCCATGCATCGGTCAAACAATTGCGAAATAACTTCCATTTAAGTACCTATACGCCTTACAATAAGAGTTCATTTCAAGCTGCTCTTTCACTCTGATTTTCACAATAAACCTAATGTGCCCCTCTCATCAATGAACATTGTTAATGCTTAGCTCAGTGTGATTGCTCATTGTATATGAAAGGCGGAGCGGCACAAAGCATCGCATTTGTAACAGAATTATGATGAAGTAGGTCATACAAAAGGAAATATTTGTTGTATTTTTACCTTACCATTCTAAAGAATATGTTAATTTCCGCAACAGAGATGATAGATAATAATATGTTTGCTTTTTTACAGCTCTGTACTTTTTTATATTTATATATATGATTTATGTTGAGGCATCTGAGAGGAGAATATTAGCTGTAATTGACTCTTGAGGGTATTACTTTCAGGCTGCAGCCCTGAAAACCATCACACATGGGAATAAACCTGCAGCAGTCAACGTGCTCTCAATGCACCACTCACCACACATTGCACAATCATAGACTTAAATTAACATTTTAATTGAACAAATCTTTCACACAAGTATTATTTTTAATCGTAAAGCATTGGACTGCATTACATTGCCGCTGCATATGTTCAGCCCATTCACATTGTGCATTTTAAAATATCACTTAGCGTTCACTTATTGCCTCTCGTCTAACCTCACTGCTCCAAACTGCTCCCACTAACACATGTTGACCTCCTGTCCTCACTGTGCAGTATACTCACTAATAGATCCTTCCTCCACTTGGATGCCAATTATCTTTAATAAACACCCAGACTCCCGGGGACTTGAGTCATCACGTACTGTTTCAAAAGAGTGGACCAAGTAGGAGCACACACTGAGGAAGTGCTTGTTCTATAGTTATTTATGTTTCTGGATTTAAAAGGTTTAATACATTCTGGAAAAACTTTCTCTTTTTTTACATCAAAGAATGATGTTGTGAATACATTACTGCACTGAATAGAAATGAGTGTGTGCCCTGGTTGCGTAATCTCATGGTTTACAGTCAACACTAATGAGAAGAGCCCAACAGTCTACCCTTTCATTACGCTTCATGATTTGTGACAGCCCAACATAAACAATATAACATGCAGGGGAAAGCAAATCCCAGTCCTTCACAACTCACTCATTTGAACAGACGTTCATTATTTATAATATAATGAACATAATTATTATAAACGCATGATGTAGGTCCAAAGTAGTCTTCTCCTCCAGCAGCTGCTATATTTGACTGTGTTGTGAATACAGTATCGTTTTTGTGGAAATGTTATGTAATGCCCCTTTGTTTTGTTATTTACATACCGTTTTCCCAATTGTTTCTTAAGATATAACTCAAATTCTAAGAAGTCATAAGAAGTACTCAGCATGTTTGATTGTTTTGTTGTGAATAAAGTTGTAATGATCCTTTGTGATCTATTGTCGTGTGTTATGTAACTAATCATACTTGCAAGAACTGGGGCACGATCATGACATCTCTGATATGGAAAGCAAATGTGCCGTTCAGTCGTCACTCTGACCGCAGAACTCTCACCTTTGTACTCACAAATACAGATTAGGGTTGTATTGCGGTGCCCTATTTTGTTCTGAAACTTTCAGACATTTTGTACAGCTGAAAATGCTCTCTGTGGTTAAGAACTTGTTGAGCAGAGTTTCTGCTTTCCTCTCCCAAATGCCTATGTGATGCCCACATTACAGTGTCATGAGCATAACAAGTCAGTTTTCAAGGGCACAGTTTAAACATTTAAATACTTTCTCTGTGATATTAGCAGAAAAATATACAGGACATTGGTTTGAATCCTTCTATAAAGTTAATAAATAGGTGTAGTATAGCATTTACTTTGTTTGTCACCTATTGTCTTCTGTACAGGAAATGGGCCTTACGTCACTGACTCATGCTAAGAACTGAAAAGTGTTGAAACATAACAAGAAAAGCCACTAAGGTGATGTACTGTGCAGGTCCCTCCATTAAGGAGGCTGGTGTTAAATTACAGACTGTTTTTAACATTATTCAGACTCAGCTCTCTGAATTAAAGCTTCTTTTAAATATTGAGAAAACCAAGGTAATGCTCTTTTCTAAAGCTAAAAAGACACCAGAGCATGTTTTAGATATTGTAACTACACAAGGAACAAAACTTGAAGTTGTTGCCTGTTACAAATACCTTGGTATCTGGCTTGATGATTGTCTCACTTTTAAACTTCATGTCAATAACCTGCTTAAAAAGCTGAGGGTTAGACTAGGTTTCTACAGGAACAAGTCCTGTTTCTCGCTTGAGGCCAGGAAAAGGCTAGTCACTGTGACCTTTTTACTTGTGCTGGACTATGGTGATTTGATGTATATGAATGCACCTGCCAATTGCCTGATCAAGTTAGATGCTGCGTATCACAGCGCGCTAAGATTTATGACAAATTGTAAAGCATTAACGCATCACTGTACCCTGTATGCAAGGGCTGGTTTGCTTTCACTAACTGTACGGAGGCTCAGTCACTGGTACATTTTTATTTACAAAGCCATATTAGGGAAACTTCCATCCTATATCTGCTCCCTGATCTCACGGCGAATTGTAAGTGGCTACTGCCTGAGATCGCATGCTGTAGTTTTATTAAATGTGAAAACTGCTAGGACTGTCTTAGGGAAGACAGCTTTTAGATGTGCAGCGCCACTGTCTTGGAATAGTCTGCAACTGAAATGGAAACTGAGCAATCTGGTGCCACTAAATGTTTTTAAAGCTCGGTTGGATGCTACTCAATCGGAAGCTGTTGGTACCTGTACATGTGGATAGTTATGTAAATTGTAATCCCTGTGATGATGATGTAAGATGTCCTTTTGTTGTTCTGTTAATGTTTTTATGTTTCATGTGGAACCTACTTGAGCAGGTCTCCCTTGTAAAAGAGTTCAATGATCTCAATGGGATTTATCTGGATAAATAAAGGTTTGAAATGAAATGAAATGAACGCAAAAAATAGTGCATCTGTTGACCCTCTAATTTGGTTTTAGTTGGAAAAAGGTTGCTTGTATGATATTGATTTAGTCTTTTACATTGGAAGTTCATTCTAACAAAAGGCAAAAGGTCCATGTTGCTTTTGATTGTACCTAACTATTCCAAAGTCAGTAAGCTTTTCAAAGTAAACAGAGCTCAATACCAATATAATACACATCTATACTTCCATAACAGTGCAAACTCCTGCAATATTCTAAAAAACGTTGTGTTTTATTTATTTATTGTTTTTGTATTTTAATATTGAATTAAATCAATATAAAAAGGGTTTAAAACCATGACAAACTTTTTTTACCGCTTAATTATAAAGGAAGTGACGTAAGGGCCGTTCTACTAGACTTCCTGGAGACGGTTGCTACAACAGTTCGTTGCCAACTGTCACTCTACCACTTAACGTTACCTGATGTTTTGTCTACTAGTTTCTGACAGATAATGGCTTTTGTTTCACCCACCAAGAGGGATCAAAACGGAAGTTACACTTTCTCCAGCCGGCCCAGACCTGTGGAGGACAGGTCCAAGTACAGAGAGCCTCCGTCCGAACAGTGAGTTAGTTGATTGATTTATGCTAAGCTAGGTGCTAACGTTGCTTCAGTGCTACCAGCATTGAATTAAGGCAGGTGGAACTAGCTAGCATACTGTAGCTAACACATCATAATATTCACTCACTTTCACAAACTACAGTTCAGAGACAAATATTGTACTATTTTTTTTACACTACACTCAATCGACAGCTTTAGTTAGTTTCTAGGTGAATCCACTGAATAAGATTTAAAAAAACAGAAATATCAAATCAGCTTGTAAAATATGATGCATTGAGTGGATACTACTAATCAGTAGGCCTACATTGCGAATTCAGAATAATTAGGTTTGACCTTAACAACACGACATACTCACAAGAACTAGATAAAGTGTAATATTTCTGTAGGAATGCTTCATCGACTTAAATGGAGTTTGCTCTTTGGATGGACCAAAATACCAAGAAAACACATAGTAACTCTGTAATTAAAACATGTACATTATTTGTCATAGTAATGTTAAACCTTAAAAGTACTCTAAAAGTCAAACAGATCTAACTTTAACATGACTATGCCATTACAATAAATGCGTTTTATTTGTTAAAAAATACATGGAGTTCCTGAATATAACATATAATGATGTAATACTTCATGAAAACGTCAATTCTTCGGAATAACTACTTCTACTTTTGTATACATTTTGCTGAAGACGTTTTAGGATTTTTATGTACAGTACTTTTACTCATATTTTTGCATTTAATGCTGTAGTATCAACTTTTTTACTTAAAGGAATACTCAGTCCCCAAAATGAACTTTTGCTTATCTAGTACCCAGCCCTAGTTACCTTGTATTCTCGAGGTAAACGTTGTTTTTCCGGCATGCATCCATTGTGAACAAATAATTATTGCAGTGTTTTACAATACACAGAATTGTGCTTTGTTCGCCCTTTGAGGCAGGCGAGAAATCAAGGTAACACAGGAGGAAGATTTGGTATACAAAATGTTGTCATTTTATTGAAGTAATCCATCCATCCATCCATCTTCTCCCGCTTATCCGTGGTCGGGTCGCGGGGGTAGCAGTTCCAGCAGAGAGCCCCAAACTTTCTTTTCCCTGGCCACATCAACCAGCTCTGACTGGGGGATCCCAAGGCGCTCCCAGGCCAGCGAAGAGATATAATCCTTTAAGTATTATTCCCAATACTTCCTTTACCACAGAAAGAAAACCTTAAATAATTTATATCTAATGCTGGTTGGAAAATACCAGCTTAACATGGATCAGGAAATCACCCTTTTCACGTGTAAAGGTCAGCCACTAATAATCTGACTACATGACTGCACTGTGTTTTTCCTGATGATGTAGGACCCAGAGTAATTATGGGAACATTATGTATGACCGCCGAGTTGTCAGAGGAAACACTTACGCCCAACAAATCATACCAACTGTAAGTATGAAACACTCATATCATTGAGCATGACCCCTTGTAGGTTTGCTTCTCTATCTGACATTATATCTAAATCATGTGCATTATCTTCCTCCTTTGACAGACAGCTCTGCCAGACCCTGTAGAAGTTCAGAGACAACAGGAGATTCGGAGGAGAACCGTTGCCGCAAAGCGAGCCAGGGAGCAGTGCAGAACCAGGACTCCTGAAGCGCTGCAGGGCAGAAAACACATCGACGTTCAAACAGGCAAGGCTTCAAAACATTCCGACTATCATTTATTCATTATGAGTTTCTCAAACGTGCTGTTTGAAAGTTGTTTTGTAATTCTCTTGCCCTTTAGACCTTTATCTGGAAGAATTAAGTGATGTTATCGTGGCTTCAGATATCGAGTGCCAGACTGATGCTTTCCTGGACAAACCAGCCACCCCGCTGTTCATACCTGCCACATCTGGAAAAGATGTTGAAACCCAGATAGAGGAGGGAGAGGTAGGAAATAGCTTTAAAACGGGATTCAGAAAAGTCTTGAATTTGGAAAACATTACCCTAAGTTGTTCACGGTTTGGAAATTGCTTGAATAAAAATGAACGTGTCAGCATAATCTGGTGTTTCATCTTCACAGTCACTCCATAGACACTTCATAGTTCTAGAACAACACATTTCAGACAATATTTCAAATGAAATGCTTGCAGGATAACAAATAACCCTTGTGTTTCAAAATGTCTAATCACTTACTCTGAGTATGCTCTGCAGTTGTTTGACTTCGACAGGGAGGTGCAGGCGCTGCTGGAGCTGCTGGTGGGGAAGACGGTGGAGCAGTCCCTGGAGGAGGTGATGGAGGAGGAGGAGCTGGCCGGTCTGAGGGCACAGCAGAGGGCCTTCAGAGAGCTGAGGAACAACGAGCTGGAGGAGGTGCTGCGGCTCAAGGAGCAGGAGAGGCGCCGCAGTAAAGAGAAGGTATGGCAATGGAAATTCACTTTTTAAATCATTAAATAGGAGGAAGTCTATCCCAAAGCTTGAATATCAGGAGGAACCAGGGACTCATTTACGGAACATTCAGATGGAGTCGGGCTTTTTCCTTTCATTTAAACTACAGTCAATGTGGCCGTACATCAGCAGAGTCCGCTTTCACAAGAGGGTTGGTGTTCCAGAAAGGTAATATCCGGTGCAACAATCACTATTTGAGAATCAGACTTCCTGTTTGGTAATGTTGCCATGGGAACGCTGTCAGTCAAATCTGATCAAACCATAACCTTACAGCCAGATGAAGCAAATGACTACTTTTTTTTCTGTTAAACTGTTATTGTTTATAACTTTCCTAACTCCAAATGTAATTATTAGACGCAATTAGTTTCATAATATACTTAGTTTAACTATTTTTTGGGTGCTTTTACTCAGTAAAATGATATTAGAGTGATAATATATAATAATATAGAGTGCCCTTTATGGACTGATTCGGAACATTTTGGAGAATTGTAATCTATGAAGTTATCGGTTTTTGAAATCTTGTCCCTCTCTGTTTTGCTAAGCGCTCATTGCTGTTTTTTGTGTGTGCATTGCTTAGAGAATAGAATATAATTCCTTTATTGTCATCGCACCAGGTACAACGACATTTAAAAAAGCAATCCTCGCAGTGCATTTCCACATAATATGAAAAAATAAATATCTATATAAACATATACACATATAAACATATGCTCACACATCCATACCAACATGCATACATGCCCGCACATAATTTAAATACAGTTTACAATATAAAAAACACAGGGATGATATTTGGCATCTCTGATGTCGATCAGTTAATAAATTAATAAAACTATTAAAAAGTAGTGCAGTTGCAAATTGTTACTGTGTGTGTGCTACTGTAGTTCAGCATTTGACGGTGTTCAGTTCTCGCATGGCTCTGGGGTAGAAACAGTTTTTCAGTCGGTTTGTCCTTGATTGAATTGACCTCTACCGGAGGGCAGAAGAGCAAACAGGAAGTGTCCAGGGTCCAGGGTCCAGGGTCCAGGGTCCAGGGTCCAGGGTCCAGGGTCCAGGGTCCAGGGTCCAGGGTCCAGGGTCCAGGGTCCAGGGTCCAGGGTCCAGGGTCCAGGGTCCAGGGTCCAGGGTCCAGGGTCCAGGGTCCAGGGTCCAGGGTCCAGGGTCCAGGGTCCAGGGTCCAGGGTCCAGGGTGTGAAGAGTCTACAATTATTTTTGCCTGCTCTGTTGAGGCAACGTTGGCTGAAGAGTTCCTCCAGAGAAGGCAGTGAGCAGCCGATGGCCTTCTGGGCTGTGTTGATGACCCTCCGAAGGGCTTTTCTGAGCAGCTGACACACCACGTGGTTAGGCAATATGCCAGCACACTCTCTATGAAGCAGAACGTTTCCACTTGTCAATCAATTAGTGTGACCATACTATAACTGAGTGTGTTTTTCTAATTTGAGTTTCTGTATGTTTTGGTGTCTTCTTTGTCTGTGAGAAAATACACCTCCAGTTATTTTAATTATTTCAAGCAAAGATCATGTTTCCATAGTTCCAGAAAACATCTGAGGCTGTGTGCTTTTTCCACCCGAAGGAAAATACATCAAAGGATTGGGACAGCAGAGGAGGGAGCTCGGATAAACGTTGACATATTATTTGTGCTTGTTTTTCCGTCTGGCCTCAGGAGCGGAGAGTTGCCCAGCAGAAGGAGGTGCTGAGGAAAGAGAGAGAGGTTGCAGAGAAGATTGCTGCGCGGGCGTTCACCCAGCAGTACCTGGCTGACCTCCTCCCCGCTGTCTTCACCTCGCTGAGAAGCCACGGCTACTTTTATGACCCCGTGGAGAAAGGTCCGTCTTTCTTCTCCATCACCTGCTTCCATTAAAACCAACCATTCTACCCTTTTGACACATGAGGGCGCCAGCGCACCGCCCTGCACACAGCAGCATCTGTTAAAACCTGCAGGCTGATCTGTGACCAGCAGCAGATGAGATCACTGTGATGATTTCATCTTTTACCATATTTGTGCTTGATTTTCTAGATATTGAAACTAATTTCTTCCCCTGGCTGATGGCTGAGGTGAACAACAGTTTGGAGAAGAGATACACGGCAAGGGCGCTGCTGGACAGTAAGGAAATATTAACAAATATAATCCAAATGTATTATAGCCCCAAAGATGCCTCAAAGGCTGTACAAAGCAAAAGCAAAGACAAAAATAACAATACACTATCTATTTTTCCTGTTGTGCAGAAGACTTCCCTCTGCTCTAGTTTTCAAACCTGCTGTCTCAATGTTTCATGCCTATTTTAGGATGTTTGAATTTTCCAGGTTTCATCTTTTGGCTAAATTATTTCGTAATTTTTTTTAATGAATATTTAATACATTCTTCATGTAAAACCTTCCATGATTTCTTTTGACTTTTTTTCATTTATTTGCAATAATGTTGATGTTTGAACTACTGGTTGGATACATGAACATTATAAAGGTGTCACTTTGGACACTGATGAACTGTTATGGTATTTCTCACTATTTCACATTTCTTTACGAATTTAACAGATGATGTATTAATGTTCACAGGTTCTCCTCCAGGGGTCACTTGTGCATATTCACGGTTGCAGCGCCATCTAGTGGCTGTTATTAAACATTACAGGTAATTCGTGTCAAACATATTTCCACAGAAATGACTTCATCCTGTCTCTCTCTCTCTCTCTCTCTCTCTCTCTCTCTCTCTCTCTCTCTCTCTCTCTCTCTCTCTCTCCTCTCTCTCTCTCTCTCTCTCTCCTCTCTCTCTTTCAGCAATCATCGATGATGTCGCTCAGAAGAGACAGGAGGCGTTCAAGGACACACAGTGATATCTAACTGAGAAAGGTCAAGGGCATGAGTGCATTCTCAAAAATAAAATGTTTTTTCTTTGACTAAACTTCCACGAGGCATTTGTTAACAAAATTACAATTATAATTGTAGTTGTAGTAGGGTGGTGAAAAATCCTAATGCTGTATTTTATTATTATTTAAAAAAATCTTTGGACTTATTGCTGCATATTACAGTATAAATCAAAGGATTTCTGTACGGCAAGAAGATATTTTTAAAACCTTGACCATCAGTGTTTGAAGTTGGGTTATTTTTGAAAAATAATTATACAAAAAAAAATTTAGTTGGTTTTTAGCGGGTAACCTGTTTAAGGATTAAAATATTTTGTAATCCAAAAGGTTGTTCTAAATCATCAGTAACACTAATGTCAGGTGCACAATAGTTTTTCTTGACAATGTTATCTGTGTTGTCTGTGTGTTAATACTGTGGCCAGGCAGGTGGAAACATATTGTCTTACAGAGAATCAATCAATCATCAATCAATGTTTATTTATATAGCCCAATATCACAAATGTTACATTTGTCTCAGTGGTCTTCACAGTTTGTACAGAATATCAGTATCAATACGACACCCTCTGTCCTTAGACCCTCACATCGTACAAGGACACACTTCCAGAGAAAACCCACAGTTTAAAGGGGAACATGGGAGAAACCTCAGGGAGAGCAACAGAGGAGGGATCCCTCTCCCAGGACGGACAGACGTGCAATAGATGCCGTGTGTAAATTGAAGAGATAATACATTTTACAGCGTAGGTAGACCAAATGTTTGGAAATGAACACACTCATTTATTTTATACTAAACATGACATGTTACAGCAGTGTAGAGCTTCAACAAAGTGGTATGAAAAGATGTAGTTAGCATTGCTTGCAGGGATTTCCTGTATATTTACATGTTACAGCAAATGGAAGATCTGAAGTCCCTAAACACAACAATGTTCCTGTTGTTTTCTGCTTCAGCTTTTTTTTATCTTAGTCTTTTATCACTGACGTCATTTTTCTTTCAGTCATAACAACCAGGCTGTGTATTTTTCCATTTCACTTATCAGAAGAAATGTTCTGCAAACACCAAACACAGCAGATCAGACAAATAATGTTAGTATTACTATTAATACAAGAAGAAGAACAAGGTCCCAGAGGAGGGACGGGTTAAAAAAAGGAACTCCACATTTTTAGTAAACCATTCAAAGTGCCTTCCTGTGAATTGTATCTATTTTGCATCTGGCATCACTCTGCAAACAGCGGCTCATTCTGGTGCCGTAACAGGCAAATCAGCGCTGTTTTGCATTGCTCAGAAAGACTGCTTATTCAGCTATATTTAGCTCACCAGCAAAAACAAACTAAACCTAGTTTCTACACTTCTGTCTTAGTTATGTGAAAGAACTACACACAGAACAATACCATTTTTATTTGTATCTAAACACGTGTCACCAGTCCAAAGCAGTGCAACATTCCTTACAGCATAGCGAACATACCGTGTAAAAAATGTAGAACAGGAAAAGGGGGAAAAAAGAAGTAAATATTGGAGGAACCCATCACAACTTCTTGTCAACTACATTTTGATAAACAAGTAAGTTGTCATCAAAATGTGCTACTGATCAGTGCTGGAATATTGTGTGAAAAAACAACAAACACAATTAACACAACATAAAATAACCATACCAGTCCTAAATTAAAAAGACAATAAAGTTAACTTCGACTAAACACTATAACATCCCTTAAATGTTTTAAAACTAATCATTTTAAAGCACAGGTAACATGCAATGTAAGAACAGAAAACACACTTCAGTTTGGTTTCCCTTCCTTCTACTTCCTTGTTTTTCTCTTCTCCCTTCCTCTCTTTTAAATTCATATAGTGACATTAGGTACTTTTGTACTTCTTATTCAATAAGCTCCAAAAGTAACTAAGGAGGGGTTATGTTGACAATGGCCGGTTAAGTAGTACAAAGTGGTAGGCAGGACTTTCACATCTCTCTGGTTTCGTATTATGGTGAGAAGTAGGTTCAACCTCTGATATATACGGCTCTATTTTAATCCCGTCACCTGATTGGGCGGCACACCAATGACGTCACTCTCTCAGACGCGCGCTTCCCTCATGTGCTCAACTAAAAAAAGTTTGAGCCGTAATGCATCAGCGTGCAGGACAGGAGGTGACACACCTATCTATACATAGCAGACACACGAGGTTTTCATTTATTTATCCAGAGTCATAGATGGTATTTATAGTTATTACTCACATAATTGTTTTCTTATTAATGTAGTTATCTCAGCTATCTTGACTTACACAGATACGAGCCATGTTTCTTACTGAGCAATAGACTCCCTGATCCTGTCAACAATTCAAGTTTAACTCAGTGATTCATACACACATATAATAGCCTACTGTATATGATATGACTTGGAGGAAAAGGACATACTAATCTACAATATGTCTCTGAAGAGTTTGAAAATATGTTTAAAGAAAATAAACTTGGTTCAAACAATGATATCTAGAAAGGCTTAAAAAACAAATAAAGGAAACATAAATTGTAATATAGCAGTGTAGCAGTTAGTATGGGATTTATACACAGTAAAAGTAGGCTACATGATTGATATGATTGGCACATATGTTGGTCATTAACGTTACAATGAGGGAATGAATGGATCTTGTAATTATTATTGATGTAAAAAAAAAACAATTTCACAATTAAGAGTGCACATTTACGGCCTCAGAGAGCCAAACACTTTATTACCGTTGTTTCTTATGTTACAGTACCAGGGTTCACAATTTAGGTTGCAATCTTTGGAATTTTAATGATGAAATCTTTTCAGTTTCCATGACAGCAGGACCCCAAAAATAACTGACTGATTTATGATCTATATTTAAGTCTACAAAATCCCCTGCACTATACGGGGAAAATCCCTGTTAAAAAGCAAGGGTGGAAATTAATGAAGTAGCCTACATTTAGTCAAGTACTGTATACTTGAGTAGATTTTGGAGGTATTCATACTTTAATTGAGTAGACCTAGGAGTACAACAATTAAAGATAAAATCCACCTTTACCAGCTGCAAAATTAAGACTGTCACAAATTAGACTGGAGCAATATAATATGTATTTTTTCTAAAATAGCCCCCTGCAGGTCCCCCTCAGGTACCGGAGCTCCTCAGCCTGCCGGTGGCAGCAGGAACCGCAGCGCGATGATGAGCGCCATATTGCGCCGGGTTGCACTGAGGAAGGGGAAATCTGCCTGTGAGCTTCGGACAATCATCTCCTCTCCACACCTCACCAGCTCCGGTAAGACTTTGGGTATCCCATCTCTGTTCCCGACTGCAGCATGCAGAAAAGCGAGGCAAAAGCTGTGCACAAATACACTCAACACACTATTTTCCCGGCGCACTTTCTGCTGGCTCTGCACAAAGACATACTGTAGCCTAAATCTCACAACAGGTGTCTGTGGGATTACAGTCAGTAAGGATGACTGCATCGTTGAGGAAACTCCCACACAAAGAGCAATATAACGATTACAGTCTGACATTAAACACAATGAATCTGTGAACAGTTTTACGATGAGTTTTTTTATTGTCAAACATATGTCGTCTATGCAAAGAGCTGGAATTACTCGTTTCCCTGTCGCTGTGGGTGTGTACCCACAACATAGACGTCACTTTACCGTGGAAAAATGCCCTGAAAATCATCACATTATTATATTTATGGGCATTATTATCACCTCAAAAGGTTATTTGTGACTAGGACAGAAGCCCCTACCGTTAATGTTATCTTTCGTGTAGGAACATTGTTTATTTTTTACTCTTAAAGCGATTGTTGTACTCGAAACAGAGGTGTAACTCGGATAATTGGGTTGTGGGTTTGTTAACAACCCAAAGCGTCAAATTAAAGGATTAAAAGCGGGCAGGGTGGGGAAATAACTTTATCATAGCTTGTGGGTGAGGCACTTTGAGTACCACATTTAACCTGCCGTAGATGATTCAACAGTGTCAAGGTAGAACACAACATCAGCACTTCCGGTGTTATATTTCAGAATAAAGTGTTGGGCTGGAATTAACACTATGAATTAGATGATGTTTGATATATAGAATAAGTCTTAAATGACTGCAAACAATTACAAAAATATTGTTTAATGTGTATGTCAATGCACATTAAATAGTATACATTAAATGTGATATTAAATCAATCTTAGTTTTGGACAAGGACTTTGAAAACGTTTTACAATGTGGCACAGTTCATGATCAAAGGATTTCTTTTATAGCATTGAAGTTGTTAAAGGTAACATTTCAAATTTTTGTGTGGATCAGTGTTCATGTTAAATTAAGTCACTTCAAGTTGTTAATTCCCTAATGCATTTTCTATTGATCGACAAGCAGTTCCCTACATGTACCAGCATGCATTGCGTGCAAGCTGCTGAGGCCCAGGGTCTCTGCCGAACATATCCTCTTGTACAGCTATTGATTCCTCTGCCTTCCTCTGCTGGTTTTCTTTGGTCGTATACTCTGGTTTGAAAAATGTCTATTTTGGTACGCCATTTTACTGGAAACTGAGCTAGTTTTCAATGCATGTGAGGAGAACAAGGAAGATGTGTTATAGATCATGGTTACCCAGAGGCAGAGAATAGAAAAACAAACTGACATAGCCTAAAGTTCTTCCTAGTATATTTTGTTGTCTCTTCAAATGGTGCTTCTTGATGCAGGTACAACTGATGTTGCAGCTGTAAACACATTTTTCTTTGTCATTATAACAAATGGGGCTCAATCAACAACAGTTAACATCAATATTAGGCTTATACTAAATTGCATTCACTAAAAAGTATTCATATAATACCTATCAAACAGAGTTACAAAGGGTTTTCACATAAGAACACTAGAACAGATACATAAACACAAAGAATAATGAATGAAATTATTTAAAAAAAACACAACACATTATAAATCACAGAGTAAAGCAAACTACAAGTAATAAAACATAAAATCACATAAACTATTCTAAAAAAAGTGGATTTAAAAAAAAGTGATTTCAAAGTCCTGATCAAGTAAAACAATGTTTATGGTTGGA